TTTTTTTTTTTTTTTTTTTTTTTTTTTGTGGGTCACTTGCAACTAGTCAATTAGTTGGACAGTGGGATCATGACAAATAAAACCATGATGATGATCTTCCCTCGCTCTCTGTTTGCCTTGTTGCTCAACGCCGGGGGCGGATGGGCCGCAGGGCCGACCAGGAGTGCAGCACATGTGCTGTCCCCATAGGGAAGGGCAGCGCTGGCCATCAGACCCCCTCCTTGGGTGCACCCTGCCAAAGCCTGGCTTCCCTACGAGCTCCAATGGAGAAGACCTGGAGCTGCAGCCAGGGGAGGAGAGCTGGGAGGGCAGAGCTGCTCCTGGAGGTGGGCTGAGGGGTGAAGGTGTGGATGTGGGCACAGCAGGTGGGCTCAGGGCTGCTCTGTGAGCAGCTGCCCCATGGCATTAACCAACCCAGCACTAACCAGTGCATCCACTAACCAGCCAAGTATTAACCAGCCCATCCACCAACTGGTGCATCCACTAGCCTTCCCATCCACCAACCAAACCAGACATGAACCAGTGTGTCCACTAACCTTCCCATCCACTAACCAGTGCATCTGTTAACCAGCCCATCTCCTAGCCAGACCTGTCAGTAACCAGCCCACCCACTAACCTTCCAATCCACTAACCAGTGCTGTTAACCAACCCATCCGCAAACCAGTGCATCTATTAACCAACCCATCCACTAACCAGTGCATCTATTAACCAACCCATCCGCTCACCAGCCCACCCGTTGTTCCTGTGGGCTCTGCAGCATTACCTAGTTGCCATGCCCATGTCTGTTGCCCCCCACTCAGCCTCCTTTAGGCTCAGCCCTGGTGCTGGGGAGACACTGCTCACGTAGGGTCGAGGCCGGGATGTGGACCCGTGCTGCAGATGCTCGCTGTGAGTTCGGGGCTGAGCCCGTGCCCGTTGTGACAGCAGTGGGCACGCAGCAGCCGCGGGGCGCAGCTCCAGCCCTCCGCGCTGGGGGCCCGGCGGGACGCGGGCGGGGTGGGAGCAGCGGTGGGGGGGGGGGGGGGGGGGGGGGGGGGGGGGGGGGGGGGGTGGGGGGGTGGTCTCCGTCCCGGCGAAGGATGCGGTGGGGACCCACGGCGGCGGCGGGAGGAGAACGAGGTATTGGGGTCCGGGCGGCCAAATCCCTGCGGGTATAAACCCGGCGCCCGGGCTCCGTGCCAACCCCCGGGGGCTGCGAGGGGCCTCGACGAGGCTCGGAATCTGGGTCACCCGCAGCGTAAACATCTCCTTGGCCAACGCCGCATCCCCGGGGAGCTCCTGTTTGCTCGAGGCTCTGCCAAACCGGCGCTCCTTGGCGCGCTCTCCCGGGCCGTGCGCGCGATCCTTGAACTCTACGCGCCACATCGCCCGCGCCGGGGAGTGATTTCTTGGGCTGCAGCGCTGGCTTATCTCCTGCGGGAACTGCCCCTCCTGCATAAATAGCGGCGGTGGGGAAGCTGCGGGCTCACACGGGACGAGCTGTGCGGAGCGGTGGCAGGACAGCGCCGGTAAGGACCGCGCCGTGCGCCGGGACCTCCCGCGGCACCGGGCTCTGAGCCGGCTCGGGGCTCCGGTCCCACACAGGGCTTCCCCGAGCCCAATTTCTCGCTCTGCCCTCAGGTTCAGCCCGAAGATGAGAGGCGTGCTGGTGACCCTCGCTGTGCTCTTCCTGACGGGTACGTCCGAACGGGGCGGTGGGGATGGGCTGAGCCCCGTGGAGCCCGCAGCTCCCCGGCGGTGGGGCTCTGACCCGCAGCTCCTGGGCACGGCGGTGGGGTGGGATCTTCCCATCTGCCGTCCCCATCACGCCGTCTGTCCCTGCAGGCACCCAGGCCCGCTCCTTCTGGCAGCACGATGACCCCCAGACACCCCTGGACCGCATTCGGGATATGGTGGACGTCTACCTGGAAACGGTGAAAGCCAGCGGCAAGGATGCCATCGCCCAGTTCGAGTCCTCTGCTGTGGGCAAACAGCTTGAGTAAGTGGGGGGATGCGTGGTGGTGTCCCCGTGTCCCCATGTCACCATGTCCCCGTGTCCTCATGTCCCCATGTTTCCGTGCCCCTGTATCCCATTATCCCCATATTCCTATGTCCCCATGTTTCCATGTCCCTGTGTTCCTGTGTCTCCATGTCCCAGTGTCCACATGTCCCCATTTCCCTGTCACCTCATGTCCCCACCTCTCCATGTTTCCATATCCCCATGTCCCCATGTTCTCATGTCCCCACGTCTGACCCCGTGCCGCTCTCCCCAGCCTGAAGCTGGCTGAAAACCTGGACACGCTGGGGGCTGCGGCTGCCAAGCTGCGTGAGGACATGGCTCCCTACTACAAGGAGGTGCGTGAGATGTGGCTGAAGGACACCGAGGCTCTGCGTGCCGAGCTGACCAAGGACCTGGAGGAGGTGAAGGAGAAGATCCGGCCCTTCCTGGACCAGTTCTCCACCAAGTGGACGGAGGACCTGGAGCAGTACCGCCAGCGCCTGGCACCCGTGGCTCAGGAGCTGAAGGAGCTCACCAAGCAGAAGGTGGAGCTGATGCAGGCCAAGCTGACCCCGGTGGCCGAGGAGGCGCGGGATCGTCTGCGAGGGCACGTGGAGGAGCTGCGCAAGAACCTGGCGCCATACAGCGATGAGCTGAGGCAGAAGCTGAGCCAGAAGCTGGAGGAGATCCGCGAGAAGGGCATCCCCCAGGCTGCCGAGTACCAGGCCAAGGTGGTGGAGCATCTCAGCAATCTGCGTGAGAAGATGACGCCTCTGGTGCAGGAATTCAGGGAGCGCCTCACCCCCTATGCTGAGAACCTCAAGAACCGCTTGATCAGCCTCCTGGATGAACTCCAGAAGACCGTGGCCTGAGCTGCCGGCCCAGGGACTGACCCCAGGCCATGCCGGCCCCCGGGAGTCCTCGGGGACCCCTCCTTACCCTCCTCTCCCCCCTGTCCCGGAGACCGTCTCAGCTTTGCCATTCTTTTGTCAAATAAACGTGACTTAAGTTATTGGAGCTCACTCAGTCTTTGCAGTGGATGCTGGGGAAGGGGAGCTAGAAGTGGGGATGGGTCCTTGGGGCAGGGAGCAATAGGGCGAGGGCTGGGGGGCTGCAGGGTGGGGAGCTGGGTTAGGGTTGAGTTAGGGTTAGGGTTAAGGTTTAGGGTTAGCTGTTCCCGCTGCCACCACTGATCCCCTCATTGCCAGTCCCAGCTCCGCTCAGGATGTGATCACAGTGATGCCGGGCTGGGAGCTCCCCCTGAGCCACCAGCTCTGTGCTGAGCATTTCAAGAACACCAGCCAGGCTGGGGGCCAGCTGGGTGTCAGCTGAACACCAGGCTCACAGTGGGGGCACACATCTCATCACCACTCCACACACACGTCCATGGTGCAGCACTGCACTCAGCACCCCCAG